TAGGTTCAATTTAACATATAGCACGCATACAATTTATTGTTCTGATATGAAGTTAGAGTTATAGCGCAAAAACACATATCTGAGTAATCAGTTGTATTGGAGCTATATGTTAATGTGAAGCTATTGCGATAGTTTTAAGGAACTATTAAGGTAATATTAAAAAACTGTTATGTGCAAAATTTTAGTAAAATAACTTCAAAACTGAGGGAGTTATTTATAAAATAGTTAAGATTTAATCAAATTTTCAAGTACCGTTATCTCAAAAACCGGAACCAATCTGGTAAAACGGGGCATACCATTGAATTTAGAACATCCCAATTAAGTGAATTCAACTTTCAAAATCTTTGCTCAAAATTTAAAACTTGAACAGCATAATTTGAATCCAGCTTATTCTTTTGTTTTCTATTTCATGTTTATTCCTCGTCTAACTTTTGAAGCACTTGATGAAAATGAATTACACTTATATTAATCAATTTACTAAGAGATTACGAATAAAATGATATATAAAACATAGGTGTGCTCACAAATTTAAAAATTAAAATTTTTATTTTGAAAGTGTACCTATTTTTTATATTTGCCCATATCTATAAACACCGTCTGATACAACTACAGTCAAAGAGCAAAAAGCTAAGACTTAAATTCATTTAAAAGCACCAACAATGGTTAATACACACAAAACTCCTCAAGGCACTCCTGCAGAATCTTCTCGACCTAAACAGGGTGGCAATCCAAAAAATACTAAAGACCACTCAGCCGCAAGATTTATTTCAGACAGTGACAGTCTAATAAGATACTGCACTAGATTCTCCTCATCAATTCAAGATAATTCAGAGTCGGGTCTGGATAGTAAAAACAATAATCTTGACAAACAAACAAAACAAAAACAAGTTCTTAATATTCTATTGGGGTGAATCGAAGTCGTTTTCAAGTCACGGCTCCTCTCTGCACTCTCACAAGATCTCTCCAAATTCAATGCCCTCACCCCCTGGCATATCTATGTTTAATAGACTTGTCGACTTAACCGCCATTGTTGTCACTTTAAACCAAATCTAAAATTATGCAAAGAAGACCCGTGTAGCAAAATTTAATGCATTCTTGAAACAGTGATCACTCAAATATATAAATAAAGCAAAATCCAAAAAGTTCTTCGGTAATAAGCGCACAAATTGCCCGCAATGCTACTATTCCGGTGATGCAGCAAACTCTCAACACATCACAAGCCTCATCCGTATCCATCGGGACATGATGAACCTCTACACCCCTTGCCGTGGCACACCTGGCCGCAACGATTCAGCCCACCATCATCAGAAGTCTCGAATGCCTCTGAAGAACAACCAACTGGAGCAGTGCAAGCGCTGAGAATCATCGACGAGGAATGCCGTCAGTACCTCCAAGTGAACAATTGTGGAGCTGTTCCAGAGACCACAGCGGCTTCTGGGCAAATAACTTGCCTAGGGAGGCCAGAATGTTCAAACGAGCACTTCCGTCTGACGGATCCACCGTGAACCTACATGTAGTAAACAAAATACTGACATTTGTAAATTATCTACTGGGGTGGTAGACCGCCCGGTAGTGGAAATTATTAATACTTTCCACCTGACTTTTCATCTGCAGAGCATAACAACTTCCATGACTAACGCACAGCCATGGCCGCCTTCGCATGAATGACTTTGTGTAGTACAAAAAACAATAGAGTGAAATCGTTCGTATTCGATCGTGCGTCCATTCTAATACACATGCTTTTTTCATGTGATCGTTCATCTGATCTGATACACAGCAGCTACAACTTAAGGGGCTGAGTACGTAGCTGCTCACTACCTAACTTTGTTATCTACTCGCTTCGTATCAATTCATTACTTCGGCTTCTCCTAGTTCCCACCTTCTTTAGTCAGCTGCAAATTCATTGCTACTCAAAATGCACGTGACTAGGCAATACATTTTTGTAGTACCTGCGGTCAAACTAACAAAAGCATATATGCTGGCATGAATAACATTAGGAATACCTAACAAATTGGCCTAGTGGGACCTTTGTACACCCACGTACCACGCTTTGAACGTACAGTCACTCACAGAAGTATGCGTAAATTAGTTTTTTCACAATATTCAAAATGTTTTCCATCATAAATCTTTTTCGCTAATTTTCATTTAAATTCTATACCAAAACCCATATAAATCATTCTTGCAAACTTTGTACAAAATTCGTAAAAATAAATCAAACTTAATGAAATTTTCATAAAAATTTCAAACTTTTTATTCAAAATTTTTAGAAAAATTTTCGGTATGCAGTTTTGTAGCCCGTTAAATTTTAGTATAATAAAGTGCAGGTTTCAAACAGCTAAAAATTACTTCTGTTTTTGTAGAATGATTTTGTTCATGCCTTATATGGAAACATGTCCATGTCAAGTTAACTTTGAGGTTTTGACATAATCGTTCGTTCGCGTCCCGAGCGGACGTATCCCGATCCTCCACTATCCCATTGTGTTCAATAAACCTATATTTTTGCAATTAAAGCCGGACTTCTCTATTATACTTTCCATACGTGGATTTTTTAAAGTGTAATCCAGCTAAAAGATATGAAGGCAAATGTTCATATAAGTTTGCACAAAAAAAATTATATACCGTTTAAATACGAGCAAAAGGCGGACCTCTCCATATTTTTACTTTTTTTGTTGTTTACATACAATAATTAAAAATATTTTCTTACCATAGGTCCAATTTCGAACTTCGAAGGCCCATATCTCTATTTCGGAAACTAACTTCGAAATACGGAGAAATTGCCTTTTTAATTATGACTCAATTTCTTAAAAACAAATTGCCTTTTTAATTATGAGTCAATCTCTTAAAAACAAAGATTCCCCGAATTACAATCGCGAATTACCCTATTCACACGGGCACATTCTTAATTCGATTTGACCGTTCTCTGTCTGTGTATTTTTTCTTCGCTACAAAAGTGATGCAAAATGCTAAATTGCTAAAAATTTATAAATTTCTGTATTAAATTGGTGATTTACACATTTACTAACGTTACTTTTGGTACTCAGAAAAAGTGCCAGTTTTGATTTGTGAACTGGTTTCGATAAATTTCCGATTAAAATTAGACGCGGCAGCGATTTGTTCGTAATTCGCAATTACGTAATTCGGAAGGGTAATTGGAGTGCGAATTTGGAATTAGAGAGCGAACTACGTAATTGGTGTGCCGTGGGATAGCCGTATTAGAAGTAGTAATAGTGTGGAATAAAAAAAAAAAAAAAAAAAAAACTACAGCATATAACTTCAGTCGAAATGAACAGAAGCGCTTAAGAGCAAATTCATTAAAAAAGGCAAACAACTATAGACGTAATTACTCCTGCCCTTAATCTATTTCAGGTTCCCCCTTCGTAAAGTCTAAATTAACCGCTTTGCCTTTCTTTTGGTTTCGAAACTGATCTAATTCTGCACCAGAATGAGGGTGTCAATCTATTTAATAACTGTTTGATACCAGTATTACTAGAAGTAGGAGAGATAAAATATTCCATTTGGTGTTCAGTTTGAATTCATAATATTACGTTGTCATTGAGCCATAACCTCGAGTTTAACGTTTTGAGTTTATGAACAACTGTCAAGTGTTCACGTTGGAGTTTTTAACAAACTCAGAGTTTAATTTGACATTTTTCTGTTTACTTTTTCTTATTCTCTTTTAGCCTGTCCTGTAGTATTTATCACACACGCACATAAGTCTAGAATACCAACAGTTTAGCTATAAAAAAAAAACAAGAAACGAGGATCGATAGGACCTTTTACGCTGATTTCAACCATACCATTATTTGATGCAAATAAAAACCAAAGCCAATAAAAGAGGTTAAAGTTCAACTTTTCTATTTCTCATGTGTTTAATATCTCGGAAACTACTCAACCGATTAAAAAATTACACAGGCCGACAAAATTTAATCAACATTCAGACCCAGAAACCAGACTATATATATATCCGCATATAAATCTGGCCTCAGAATTGCTCTATCAGCTCTGTGTTCGAGATATCCTAACCTAAAAGTGCAAAAAACACCGTTTTGTAAGCTTTTTGATCGAGTTTTTGTTATATGTTGGTATTGTTGTAGGCTGGTCGATCTACTTCTCCATGTGCAAGAAAAAATACTTTTTTCTCCACTTCTTTGCCCAACGTTTCGCTAACTACCTTAGCATCATCAGGGGCGATTCCTGGGCAAAAAAATTTGCATTACCCATAACGCAGACTAGCCTCAAACCGGTCCAAATCATAGCAGAAATGGAGCAGTTAATACAGCACATAGAAGACAACAGAACCAAGGAAACAGCGAGATGCAAATTGAGTAACCGAATAATTCAATTTAAAAGGAACATTAAACACAACTCAGCGGAGAAGTTCATATTAGAGACTTTTAATAGAACCAAAATTTTTTTAAAACAACACAAAGATGAAATTATTGTTACTGATGCGGATAAAGGAAACAAAACTGTGGTATTATATAAAGCGGACTACACGGAAAAAAATGAGAAAACTACTGGAAGACAAAAACACTTACAAAACAATAAGAAATGACCCGACAACTACACTACAAAGAAAAAACAATACCATAATAGATGACTTGTACAAAAACAAAATTATTGACAGAAGCGAAAAACAACAGCTCACATGCACAGCAGCAACTGCACCTAGACTCTATGGGTTGCCAAAGATTCACAAACCGGGCTTGCCTTTACGGCCAATCTCCTCATCTGTCAATGTCCCGTGCTATGGTTTATCCAAGCATGTAGGCAAAATTCTTAGAAAGTTTACCTCAGAGGAATACAACATAAAAAATGCGTTTCAATTAAAAGAAAGGCTAGAAAACATCCAAATAAAAGAAGAAGATTTGTTGGTGTCATTCGATGTGATCTCCTTATTCACCAACATACCGACACATCTAGCTATGAAAATTATCATGAACAAGTGGGATAAAATTCAACATTACACAAAAATACCCAAAAATAAATTTCAAAATATCATGAATTTCTGTTTGAAGGATAACAACTACTTCACCTGCAATGGAGGTTTCTACGCTCAAACCTTTGGGATGCCAATGGGTAACCCTCTTTCACCCACTATAGCTGACGTAGTAATGGACGACCTATTGGATAACACTATTTTGGACCTGAAGGAAAATTTTAATATTGACATCAAATTCATTGTTAAATACGTAGACGATATTTTTGCTATAGTAAAACAAAAGAACGCGGACATTATTCTCAGAACACTTAACAAATATCATCCAAAGCTGCAATTTACAATGGAATCGGAAAAAAACCTCTGTTTACCATTCTTAGATGTCATGATCCACCGAAAAAATGATTCTATTGCACTTAACTGGTACGCAAAACCCACTTCCTCTGGGCGCCTAATAAATTATCTGTCATCGCAACCCTTTAAGTATAAGATTAACACAGCCAAAAATTTAATACACAAAATATTTACAATAAGCCACCAACAATTCAAGGAGACGAACATATGCAAAATAAAGAAAATTCTAGCAAGCAATAACTACCCAAACCGTCTAATACAAAGCCTAATCGAACAGAAAGTAACAGAAATAAACAATAATCAAAACAAAACGCCAACCACAAAAGCAACAGACGGAACAAAGCGATATCACAGTGTGACGTACATTCCTAAGTTCTACCAACAACTTGACCACGAAATAAACACCAACAACCCTAATATAAGATTAGCATACCGAACCAACTACACACTATCTTCGATATTCACACAAACAAAAACACCGATCAACCCCCACCAACAAAACAACGTAGTGTATGAAATCACATGTAAAGGCAGAGAAAACGAAAACTGCAACAAAGTTTACATAGGGACAACTAAGCGAGCATTAGGCGTTCGCCTTTCCGAGCACGAAGCCGACATAAACAAAAAGAAGAACAGCACAGCATTAGCACAACACGTACTTACCAGTGGCCATACGGCTGATCTAGCTAACGTTAAAATATTGGACAAGGAGAAGAGGGAACGGGCAAGATACACAATAGAGAGTTTACGTATACTACAGAAAAGGGAAAAAACAATCAACAAGAAGGAGGACACGGACGATATCGCGGCTGCTTACATGTTATGTTTGTAGCGAATAGTTTAGTTTAGTTTGACGAAATTACCACGGATGGATGGTAGCAATATTTTATGTTTTTCAATGTATTTAACGTTTTTTTGTGTTTTTTATATGGTTTATATGTTTGTCAATGTTTTTACATGTATGTGTATTGATGTGAAACCAACTTAACCGAAGTTTACATGTAAGTCATGCGGTAAAAAAAAATAGGTTTAAAAACCTGTGATTGTGTTATTTTTGTTTATTAATCTTTAATTTTTATTTGTACAAAAAACTCATAATTTCTATTTAAATAATCTTGTTTTCCTCTGTTTTTTGTTGATATTTATAATAAAGAATCGCCCCTGATGATGCTAAGGTAGTTAGCGAAACGTTGGGCAAAGAAGTGGAGAAAAAAGTATTTTTTCTTGCACATGGAGAAGTACACCGTTTTTGCCCATATTTGAGGTTATGTAGCCTTGCAGATGTTTTCTTTCTCCAAAATAATAGGCCGACAACTTTAAGTACAAGTCTTCTTCTTTCAAATGGCGTTTTGTTTGCTCAAATATCATTTTTGTTTGCTGAGATATCGCATTTTGAAATTTTCATGTTTCTAAATTTTCCTACACCTGAAAATCGATTGAGATAACATGGACATGATATAGTCGATTCATTTTTTGGTTACATCTTATGATTGTTGTAATATTTTTTTTGACTTATCAGCTCTTCATCTTTTCTTATCTTATCTTATCTTTTGGTGAAATAAAACATCTGCAAGGCTACATAACCTCAAATATGGGCAAAAACGGTGTTTTTTGCACTTTTAGGTTAAGATATCTCGAAAACCAGAGCTAATAGAGCAATTCTGAGGCCAGATTCGGATGCATCGCATCAAAATCCTTCGAAAATATATAGTCCGGTTTCTGGGTCTGAAATGCTGTCGGCCTGTGTTATTGATGCTAATTTCAAAATAATTTAAATACCTTTTATGCGACGTACATATATACTATAACCAGTTTTAAAACTAATTGTATATAAACGCCATGTAAAGAGATATATTTATATTTTTTGTGTTTTCTAGTATCTTCGGACTAAAAATATAAAACAGCATATAAATTATATACATTCATCAAAGACAAATTAATTACCTTTATTTTGACATCATTAGTTTTTAATAGGTTATGTTGTTCAAATGATGTTAATATTTAAAAAATTAAAAAAGTATCATTTAACCATTGATATCTTCTTTATTTTTTACTTCCACCAGATAATTTTGGTAGGGTTGAAATCACAAAAAGTTCTATCGAGCCACATTTTTGGTTTTTGCATAGCTAGATTATTGATATTCTAGACTTATGTGCACGACCTCGGACTATTTCTGATTAAATCCTGCAGTACGGGAACAGGCTAACTGTCGGCAAGTTGGTTTTTGTTGTTGTTGTAGCGGCTGCAACAACCCCGCCCAAATCGGTTAATATCTCAGTCGTCGTCGTCAAGTTCCACTAACGGCAGCCCTAAGAAGCGTGCAGCCTCAATAAGGTCGGTCCACAGGGACAAAGGCGTTAGGGTTCTCGGGTTTTCCGGGCATACGAAGAGATGTTTCGAGTCATGGGGTGTCTCTCCGCATGCCGACACTCATTTGGTACATCTGCGTTTATTCTGCTCAGGTATGAGTTCAACCTGCTGCAGTAGCAGGTGCGAAGTTGGGCTATTGTGGTTCTAGTCTCCCGAGGCAGATGAAGCTCCGCCTCGTCAATGTCCAGTGGTTGTGCGCCTAGAACGCCATTCACAGGTCTGGTGTCTACATAACTCGAGACTTACTCCCTATGAATGCCGTTCAGGGCCTGTCGATAAGCTGACGGGTTCAGAGGTTGTTTAATGAACCTCTGGACTTCGTCCGTCAGTTCGTGCAGATGCCTCCTGACGTGCCTGGGCGAGAGCTCTTCTGCAAACAGTTTCCTGTTTAGGTGACCGCGTCTATGGCTCCTGACAAGAAACCGCTTGCAGAGCATTGTGTTGTGCTCCTTAATCGGGAGCAATTTCGCCTCGTCGTGCAGGTGGTGTTCTGGCGACATCAGAAGGCATCCAGGCGCTGTCCGTAGTGTGGTGTTTTGCGTCGTCTGCAGCTTCATCCACTGGCTTGAGGACCTTGTTGCGGCTCTGTACTTTGTTGACAATAGCGGTTGCGTGCGCAGAGAAGGAGAGCAGACTGTCGAAGGTTACTCCGAGTATCTTGGGGTTATTCACCGTCGGATGTATGTATCATCGACGTGAATTCCCAGCGGTAGCCTGATCTCCTTCGTCCAGTTGGTGAAGAATGTCGCAGAGCATTTTGTAGGGGAGAGAGTTAGGCTCCTTGCAGTGCAGAAGCGAGAAAGCTCGGAGATATACCGGTTTACTTTCGAACACAAGTCATCGATTCCATTCCCGGCCGGCGTAAGAGACAATCGAGACTCCCTGTGGTGGTTGAGGGAGCTTTGAAAAGTAAAAGTTAAACAGTAGCGGGGAAAGGACACCATCCTGTGGAACCCCCTGTTTTATTTTTCTGAGTTTGCTCGATTTGTCTCTAAACATTACCGACGAGTATTGACCACTCAGATAATTCGCCGACCACCGTTTGAGCCTCTGTGGAAGAGAGGAAGCCTCTATATCTTCTAGCCGCGTGGAGTTGCTGACGGTGTCAAACGCCTTTGAGGTCCAACGCTACTAGAATGGTTCTCTCACAGGGACGGTTGCGGGTAAGGCCACGTGTTATCTGAGTGTTTATGGCGTTAAGTGCTGTTGTTGTACTGTGCACTTTACGGAAACCATGCTAATGCTTCGCTGGGGTCAGGTGGTTCGTGAAATACGGGAGGAGCAAGGCCTCAAGTGTCTTCGCTACCGGGGAAAGAAGTGTTATTGGCCGATAAGATTCTCCTTTGTTTGCTGGTTCCCCCGGTTTGAGCAGTGGGGCCACTCCAGATGTCTGGGATGATGAGAGTGGCCATTGACATATTGAGGACCTCCGTTAGGTACGCTACTCCCGCAGGACCCACATTTTTCAGCATCAACATGCATATTCCGTCGGGACCCATGGCTTTGGAGACTTTCGCCTTCCCGATGGCCACCTGAAGTCTTCACCGCAAGTGAAAGCAAGGGGGGCACAAGTTGTTGGCAGTTTGTGCAGCCTTCTGGTCATTCGACGCTTGGCTTTGTCTGCCGGAGGATGCAGTATGAACTGCCGGCTAAAATAGCTCGCGCATCGCTCCGGGTCCGACGAAGAATGGTCGCCGAAAGAAATTTCGATCCTGTCATCGTGCTTCATCGGATTGGACAGTGACCTCACGGTTGACAAAAGCGTACTCACACCAGAGCCGAAGTTGCAAGTCTTCAGATGCTCTTCCCACTTTTTCCGCTTATGTACGTTCACAAGCTGCCGAATCTCCGCGTTGAGATCCCTAATACGGGGATTTCCGGGATCGGCCTGATGAAGTTTGTCACGCTCATCGGCTAGAACAGCCGCTTCAGCAGGGAAATTTGGACGGGGGTCGGTGATGCATCCTGCCGGTACGAAGCGAGCTGCAGCAGCAGTGACAACCCTGCGGAACCTTCACCAAGGTGGACGTCGGTTGGTGTATGGACCACGGCGAAGGTGCTCACAGTAAATTCCGCGAAGCCTTTCCAATCAGCTTTAGAAAAGTTGATATAGGCCCGGTGTTCCGCGGAAGAAAAGTCGGTTGGTTTGTCGATCGAGATGACTGTGGGCTGATGGTCTGATGCGAAAGTCAGCATGTCGCCTTGATACGCTGTTTTCAGACCAGGGCTGACTATTGTTATGTCTGGCGAGCTGCAGCAGCTGCCCATAATCCTGGTGGGTGCGCCGTCGTTCATTGTGCAGAATATCGAATCATCTGTCTGCTCAGCCAAGTCTGTTCCCCTACGATCGTTTGACAGGCTTGAATGCCAAAGATCGTGGTGTGCATTAAAGTCACCTACTACCATGCGGTTTTCACCTCTGAGGAGCGCACCTATATCAGGGTGATATCCTGCCGGGCAGCAAGTGACAGGGGGTATGTACACGTTAAATATATTTCAAGCTCAACATCGCCTGACCGGATAGCGATGCCCTGACAGTATAAGGTGGTATCCCTGCGGTCGATGTCTGCTTCAATAAGACGATACTGCACGGTGGGGTGCGTGATGAACGCTAAGCTACCACCATTGTCTCGCTCGCGATCTCGACGGTGCACGTTGTATCCGGCACAATTCACCAACGTTGAATTGCTGTGCAACTGCGTCTCTTGGATCGCAGCTATCAATATACCATACCTTCTCATGAAGACAGTTATCTCCTCGGGCTTGCTCTGAAGTCCGTTACAGTCGGCAAGTTGGTTGCAGGTATGGATTGTCAAAGGCACAAACCAAATTTGGTAAAAAAATGGTTGCATTCGTATAAACTCCAAATAAAAGTGTTGTTTAAGGAGGAGAGTTTAACGAAATTTTTTGTATGGTAAACTCCGAGTTTACGAGTGGAGTTTAGCGTTAAACTCCAAATTGGCCCATAAACTCCAGTTTGTGGCTTAATAGGGACGAATATAAGGTGCTTAATGTGGTTGCTGTCGCGATTCAAGACCTGCTTAGTGGATGTGCATTAGTTACAATACCAAATTCGCTTTTAAAACACAATCTTCAGAAGCCGATCAAAAAGCATACGAAGAAACTACTCGTTATTTACTTAATTGTTATAAATTATATGACTCGAAAATGTTTGTTTTTAATTTTAAGTATATGATATAATAATTGAACCAACATTTCTTTACAGACGATACATGGGAACGAAAATATGTTTTTAGGAATAGTTTCTAATGACAACTTTGAAAGAAACGTAAAATCTTTAAATAGTGCTTACGAACAGTATGTACTTAGCGTTGGAGAATTCGATGAAAGGATTTTATTAAGCAATCCTAATTATCGTAAAGTAAACAGTTCTGGTAAGTTATATTTACAATATTGTTTCCTATTTAATTTAAATTTAATTTTTTTTCAGATGTAGGCGACGAAAGCCTTTCTGTGAGTCTTAATCAATGTTTCTCTAATTACACGGTGCTACCAAAAAAAAAATCACGAAATACACCCGAAACAAAACTTATGGCCTTTTATGTATGGCAACTGGTGTCTAGTTGCTGGTCTAGTAGCCGTGGCTACCACTACCGTACTTTGTATTATGTATAGCGATTAATCTCAGTATACAGAAAAACGCAGACGGCATCCGAATTTATTTTTTTGCCATGTAAATTTCGAAGTAATTGGCAACTTTTCTCCAATGCGTTTAACGAATTATGTAAACAAATAACAAAATCGTCACAAGCGGGATACATAAAATTGCGCTACTAGACTCAGTAGCCGACGGTCAGTAGCCAGTTGCCATACGTAATGCGAATTTTTGTATATGGTTGGCCATCGGCTATCAGTCGCCATACAAAATAGGGCCATTAGTGTAGGTTGTAGGTAGGGTCGAGTATAATATGAAAATAAATTTCGTATAGTTCCTTAACCCTCCATTTTTTTATTTTTTATTTAAAAACAGTCATTATGTTCGTATTTGATGCACTTATCTATAACAGCTTGACTAATATTGAAAAGGGGATGTAGAGTCCTTTAGAATGACGTACAACACTATGTAGTTAGACTTGGCTTGTTGGAAGTTTTCATTGGGTAAAATTTAAAAACTATTTTTCAAATTTTTTTTTAACTTTGACCATCGCTTATTTTAACAATTTCTATAAAGGTGGCCAAATATCTAGTACCTATTTAAATGTACATTTATTTTCGAATAAATTGACAACTCACCTAAGGCAATTGCGTACATATTGTCGAAGATAAGCAATTTAAGCAGAAATACGGCCTTGAAGATATTTCACTTTCAGACTTTCAGATTTTTTGAGCAGTGTGGCTAGGAAATTCATCAATATTTACTCAAAATTGATGTATGCAATGGCTCTTCAGCAAAAAATTTATTTTTCGTAAAATTTTTGGAAATTCGTCGTGGCACGGCCCACTTATATCATATATGTGTAGCTCAAAAACGGTTTCACCGAGCATTTAATCTTTTACTGTGCAATACAAAGAACAGATAAATACATGTAAATACTAGGATAAAAATATACAGTAACAAAAATATATATAAAAACAAGTATTACAGAAATATGCAAGTATGAATAAAAAGTTATAATGTAAATGTAGTAACTAGAGTACAAACAGAAATTGTATATAACGTAGAAACCTAAAGAGAAAATTTATAACCACCTCATTATGCGACTTTATCAGTGAAATATGCAAAGATAAGTTTTTTTGAAATTGCATGCACAAAGCGAGTTTTTTTAAAGACAAGAATATAAAATTAAAAGCGCGTGTGCATTTGTAAAACTTAAGCTTATCATACAGATATTCCGGCATTTTATAAACTAACAATTTTAACATAAATATACAATTACGAGCTTTTATATAGTTTCTTAGGTCGCAGCCAAGTATCGAGTTTCTCAAGGTAGATAAATGCTCAAATTTCTTCAAGCCATATACATACCTAGTGGCATGGTTAAATGCAACATCGAGTTTGTGGAGGTAATGAGAGTCTAGTTTGCTGGTACACTTTCGAAATACGTAATTTGAGGAACAATAAGGCTTGAGACCAGCTGTTTTTTCGTATCAGAGGGTACGAAAAGTGAGGATACTCTGAGGCAGCGCAAGGTGTAGTAAATTTTTCCCACAACTCTCTACCAAATTTGATATACGTGCTTAGTCTCCTTAAGCGCCGCCTTGAAAATTTTTAAAATCTAGATCGATGCAGTAGCTTTTGGGATATGCATCTATGATATAATTTTCCTAAAATTTTATGAAAAGCTAATGTTATGCAAAAGAGTCTTCGTATACATATGTATATCAATTTGAACAAATATTGATGAATTCCTTAGCCACATCGCTCAAAAAATCTGAAAGTCGGTCACATACACACAAATAAATTAAAGACCGTATTTCTGCTTAAATTGCTTAACTTCGATAATTTGTATGCAGTTGCATTAAGTGAGGTATCATTTTTTTCCCATTCCTTAGCCACACTGCTCAAAAAATCTGAACGTCTGGTACATACACACAAATAAGTTTGAGCCCGTTTTCTACTTAAATTGCTTTAATAATAATAATCCCACCGGTTTTGCTCCATTCCCGCCCATCCGCACGAGGGGCGCAGTCCGCATGACGTACGGAACCAATATTTTCAATTTTTTGTGCCGAGTCACGACAGGCAGGAGTTTGTTAAGTTTCGAGATCTAAAACTTCAGCCACAGAACTAAATTAATCAGCTGATTATTATGTATTTATGTTAGTGAATCATTTATGGAGAGAGGATAGTATCGCTTTCTTTATGCTGAAAAGCGAATCAGATATATCAAATGTGCTGGAATGAGAGTTAAAATCCTGGCATAAGCAATGGAGTGGTTCGTGTAATTCAAAATTAGTTTTACAAGTTTTCAAAAATAGGGGATAAAAGTGTCTTGACGGGAGGGAACATTAAGGCTAATTTCATCCAGAAGAAGCGGACTTGAAACTGAGCCTGCCAGTAATTTAACCATAAAAATTGTACCAAGCATTTCCCTGCGACTGACAAGTGTAGGAAGATTAATAAGTTTTAATCGGCTAGTATAAGGCGGAAGGTTATATTGAGAATCTCAACGGAAATTTCTTAAAGTAAAGAGTAGGAATTGTTTTTGAATTGATTCTATCTTGTCTGAGTAAATTTTATACCTTGGATTCCAAACCACTGAACCGTATTCCAGAATCGGTCTAACTAATGTTGTAAACAGGGCTTTAGTGATATAAGAGTCACTTGGTTCTTTTAACCATCGTTTCAGAAATGCAAGTACACCTTTAGCCTTGTTGCCTATTACATCAATGTGAAGGTTAAAATTAAGTTTCAGATCCATTGTGATACCAAGGTCCACAAAATTGTATACCTGTTCCAAATTATGGTTATCTATTGTATAAGAAAGTGGCTCTTCGCGAGAAGCACCTTACTTTACATTTTTTCAGATTTAGAGGCATACGATTTACATAGCAGCAGTTAGCCATGCTGTTTAAGTAAGCTGTGCTTTTAGTTGTTTTCGCAAATTCTCAATGAGATTCATATCCGCGGATTGGGGAGGTCATTTCGAAATAGCAAATTTTTTGCGTTTGCATCCTGTCTTTGCGAACATATGCAGAATGTTTTGGGTGATTTTTCAGCACTACATCTTGCAAATTGTGTTGAAATATGAACAGATACTGTTCCTTACGCATAATGTGTACTAACAGACCAAGAAAATGTTTGAAATACAACCCCAAACTATTATTGACCGACCACTGTTATTCACAGTTTGCCTTACATGCTGCGCATGGGCTTAATTTGGTCTTTGACCCAATACCATGCCCGGCCATCTGATTGAAAGCGATTAATTTACTCTTGCCAGACCAAATAACCTTCAATTGAAATTTAAAAATATGTTTTTTATTGCATTCTGAACGGCCTAACATATCCCAATAGGCAACGGTTTGGTTTTCGTGCGATGCAGCAAAATGCTGCCACTCTCGCACATGTATTTTGATCAAAATGGTTTTTTCTTCTTTTATTATGCCTTAGCGTTCAATTTGACAATTCTTCGCCTCGCTGTCTACTAATTTGCATTCAATTTTAATACCTTCAGCGCTTCGGTAATAGTGGCTGCATCGCTACTTGCTACTAAGTTCACAAGATATCGGACCGTAATATTTTTTGACAGACTTCCTTTGTCCTTGAGAACACTTTAGGCTACATTTTTCTCAGGCTTAACATTTTCAAGTAGCAAATTCCACCATTTTTTGCCACTTTTCGTGCGGTCCCGCCTTTCCGCAGTAAATCCATTATTTACATTTATGGTTCCTGATTAACTATAATATTTACTGGTGATCACTTCTTCAATAAATTATAATAGAGAAAAAAGTCATCTGACTTCCAACTAAGTAAAAAATAACTGTCAAATGCGAAACTGAGAGTGAGTGCAAAACTGTAACATCTGCCTTAATTTACATTTTTGTCTGCTTGGTTTTTTATTGTTGTTGTATTGACTTCAAATCGTTATGAGAGAGGGAGTAGGGATGTACCAACAAGAATATACAACAAAAGGATGAAAGTCGTTAGAACTTGGAAATATAGCGATGGCTGAAATAAAAAGTGTTACACCATGTTACAGTTTTGCTCGTCACTGTATATAACATCCAAATTTTTGTTTTCACTAAACGCTTTTGAGATATATGTTGTGAACTCAAGTAAATTTGTTGAATTTGATACGCATTTGCAAAACCCATGTTGACAGTATGAAATGGTAGAGGAGATAGAATGCGTCAACTGATTTGTAATAATTGCTTCAAATAATTTAGGAGTTGCAGAGAGCTTAGCTATGACCCGACAGTTCTCTACCGAAGGCCTTACTTCGCATTAAGTGCGGTATCAATTTATTCGAAAATAAATGTACTTTTAGGTAGATACTATATATTTGCCAACTTTCATAGAAATTTGTCAAATTGGCGATGGTCAAAGTTAAAAAATTTAGAAAAATAGGGGTTTTTAATGAAAATTCTCAACAAGTTAGTCTAACAATATATTGTTAGACAGCATTTTAAATGTCTCCACATCACATTTTGAAAACAGGTCTGATTTTTAAAATCGGATGACAAATAGTCAAGGTGTTAATAGATAAGTGGATCAAGTACGAACATAACGGTTGTTTTTAAATGAAATAAAAATTTGGGTTTCAGGACTATAAGAAACCTATTTTCATGTTGTACTGGACCCACCTACAACCTACACTATCTTTTGTTTCGGGTGTATTTTGTGATTTGTTTTTTATAGCACCGTGTTATCATTTGTTTGATATTTTTTGATCATATAGGTAACAAACCCTCAGACGCCATACACTCGTAAGCATATTTTACCAAACAAAGAAGACTTTTCTGAACCAGTTGCAAGTGCAACTAATAATGTAAAAAAATTGAAGGATATCGCCCAAATATCCGAGCCAACTGATTTTATAAGGTAGGTAAATATAATATTTTTATTTTATTATTATTATTATTATTGTAACATATTTTACAAATGAATTTGTAAAATACTACATGGTGCGGGCGACGAGGCCATTATGCACCGGTGTTAGTTTAAGTAGTTATGTTTCGTCTAACAAGTTGTGGCTGTATAGCATTTTTTTGATTACGGCGATGTTGTCTTTTTTGGAGCAGTCTAATAACGCCCGTATTTGTTGGTGACTCTTAGAGATGGGACAGTGCAACACGATGTGTTCAACAGTCAACGTTGTCAGGCAGGATGAGCAGGAAAGTGGTTCGCGTTTAGTGTACAGGTGTTTGGTTGAGAAGAGTGTTGTCCCCAGTCTGATTCTGGAGAGCGTTATGCAGTCCTGCCGGGAAAGATCTCTGTCGTAGTTTGGTCTTCTGGGCAGATTGTTGTGCTTTTGGAGAAACGAGTTTGAGCTACGCCAGACATTTAAATTGTTTTCTAAAGCTGCAGCTGAATAGCAAGTAGTTATTATTGAGTGTAAACATGGGAATTCATATACTAGTGGGAGAGTCAGCGCTTCCTTTGCTGCTTCGTCGGCGGCTACATTGCCTGGTATTCCCGTGTGTCCTGGTACCCAAAGGATTTTTGTTTGGTTTTTTAGTTGACTCAAATTCAGCATATTGTACTTGCTAGCTAGAGCTTTGGTTGCACCAAGGCTATCTGAACATATAAGTGTTTTACGATTTTGCTTTGGTGCGTATTCGATGGCCCACTGGATGGCACTCAGTTCTGCGTGAAATATTCCGGCGTGTGGTGGCAGTATACTTTGTTTCACAAGGGAGAAGTTGTTTCCCCCCGTTTTTTTAACCACTGCATAGGATGTTGCTCCGTCTTGAAAGGAACCATCTACATATAATATAATTTCGGGTGAAAATGTTGCACTTATTCGACAAAGTAGATGCAAATATTCTGCAGCACAGGTGTTGTGTTTGGTGTGACTGCTGAGTTGGGTGTCAATTTGTAACCATTGGCTGTAATCACTTTGCGGTTGTTGTGGCTTTTCCGGAATAGGCAGTTTCAAGTCGAGCAATAATTTAATAGTGTTTTTAATGCTACACAAGTTACAGCTAGAAATTTTATTTTTAGATACATTTATGTGTTTCCAAAAAAGCTCATGTAGGCTTGCTTGTGTTGATGTAATTGCTTTTGCCGCCAGTTTCACGGCGCTTTTATTACGCGTGTCTTGGAAGTCTTGATAACGTGCTTGAACTCTAAGGGCATCCAAGGGAGTTGGAGGAAGGAGGCGCCAATAGCTGACCTGAAGCATTTGTTGAGGGCGGTGTTGATTTTCCTTACATTATTGGCGGATGTCCATCCATAGATTGTAATGCAATGTTGTAAGATGCCATTTGTTAGGGATTGGCATATGTTGAGGGCTGTTTCTAAATGTGGACCTTTTTTACGAGAGCAGATAAGTTTACTGAGATTGTTAACTTTGTTGAGTTTGTTCACAACGTACTTCGATTGTTCATTCCATAGTAACGTTTTCGTAAATACAACCCCAAGAATTTTAATACTATTTTTGATCTGGATGTTGTTCCCTCTCAACTTTAAGGTGGTCACTGCACATTTCTGTTTACTGCACACGTGTAAGGCTTCAACTTTGCTAATTGGCACTATAGCGCCCCTGCTTTTCGCCCAAATGTTGATTTTATGGTCCAAGGACTCAATGTGGTTTCCAACTTCCCCTTGTGGGCCTGAAGATATTGCCAAAATGTTATCCGCGTAGATTCCGAGAAAGTCTAATCCTTCAGATTTTTTGAGCTCAACAGCGAGCGAGTTTGTGTAGACATTATATAGAACAACGGAGATTGGTGAACCTTGCGGTAGCCCGTTTTCCAGGGCGCGTTTATGGGAAAGGTAGCCGTCTATCCGTGTTGTAATTAGTCGGTTGGATAGAAAGGATGAAATTACTTGCAGTAGTGTTTTCGGAATGCCCCATTCGTGAAGCTGTTTGATAACAAAAGTATCAATTACGCGATCGAAAGCCTTCTCTAGGTCCTCAGACAAAACGACACTATGCTTTTTGTTGGCCATGTTTTCTTTTAACTTGCTTTCCAGTTGATGGCAAAGAGTGTGCACGCCGCGTTGGGTTAAAAAGTACATATTTTATTTTGCAGACAGGTCGTTAATCGTTTTGCGATTATTTTCTCAATGATTTTGGAGATGACGGGTAGAAGTGATATGGGTCGATAGCCTTCTACGCTGTTGGGGCTTTTTCCAGGTTTTGGGATGGATATTAAAGTATCGTGTTTCCAGTCGTGTGGCACCGTACCGGTTACTAGAATTTTGTTGTATAATCGACATAAGCGCTTTTGGAGATTGGGTGAGATATTTCTCAACATTGAGTAGGTTATTTTATCCATTCCGGGGCTGGACCCTTTGGCACTCTTTAGGACTAAATGAAGTTCGAATGTTGTAATGTCTTTGATACTGTCTGTTAAGCTAGGCTTCTGGTCGGTTAAATTAGCAATTTTAAAATTGGTTTTTTCTGTAATTAATTTTGGGGAGAAGTTGCTGTTGGAGCTAACTTGACTCCAGTTGTCTGCTAGTTTGTTAGCAATATCTACAGGATGGGTAGGGACAGTGGATTCCAGCATTATATTTGGAAAGTTTTCAGTCTTACCAGTTCTCAAATTATTTACCTTTTTCCATAGCACTCTGATGTCCATGTCGGGGTTTAGCGAGTTGAGGAAGTTGCTCCAACATTTCTTTTTAGACTCTTTGCAAGTCCATTTAACTTTGGCGCATATTTGCCTATAACTGGAGCAGTTGGACTCGTTTCTATTACGTTTAAAGCGATTCCATGCTAGATTTTTTTCTTGAATGAGCTTGGCAATATCTGAGTTAAACCATATTGGATTGCATCGTTGTGTCGGCTGCCTGTTATGAGGAATTGATCATTAGCTGATCTTCTGATAATACGTTTGATTTGGGCTGCTTCCCTGTTTATGTTGTTGGATTCCTCGTAATCGTAGCAGTACCGATCGGTCTTACTTTCGAACAAATTCCAATTAGCTTTTTTGTCTATAAACTTCGGATTGAGACGTTTGCAATGTCTCTCTATGCGATTAAATATGAAAATTGGAAAGTGATCGCTGGCTACTGGTTGGGGTAGGCATTTCCAGGTGAGGGTGGGCGCTAGACCTGCAGAGGCCATAGAGACGTCGACCGTTGTGAGTGTGCCCTTTGTAGTGAGCAATGTGGGCGATCCGTCATTCAATATAACGAGGCTTCTGTCATCTGAGAAATTTTCCCAGATTATGCCGCTGCGTGATGTGTGTTTGGAGCCCCATAGAGTGTTTTGTGAGTTGAGGTCCCCGATGATCAAGTGATGCCCTATGCTGTACTTAGGGATATCATTGATCATCTGCGAAGTAAGATAAACGTCACATTCTTTATATACGTTAGTTATATGAAGTTGTGCGTTCCCGTTTATGGTTACAGTATGAAATAACAAATTGTTGCTCGATGTTTCGTGATTTTGCACGTTAATAGTTTGCTTAACTAGGATCGCTACACCAGATTTGGCGTATGAATAATCTTTGTTGTGACTGTATATATTGTATCATGGTAGGTGCAGCATGTTTATATTTTGGTCAACTATATGTGTTTCTTGGAGAACAATGATGTCGGGATTATGGTTGGCGACTAGGGTTTCGAGCGCAAATTTATTATTTATATAGCCCTGAATATTCCATTGGAGTATGTTTATATTTAACAGAAAGTTCATAAATATTTAACGTAGAAACAATTGGAATTAAGTTGTGGTTTGAGTTAGTTATGTTTATCTTCGTGTGTCTGTGTGGCTGGCATTGTTTGTTTGAGTGTTTTTGGCGTAATTAAGACATTGAGATCGGGGAATCTGTTGTATAGCAGAGAGAGTGGTGAGATATTCGCGAGTGTGTCTGTATGTGTCGGTGTTAGTGGAGTGCACATGTCCATGACTTCTGCGTCGTGATCGACGTCTGCAAATGAGTTGTTCGATTTAATTGAACTATGGCAGTTTGGTGTTGTTGCTAATGTTGATTGGGATTGACTGTCGTTTGTAGTTGACTGCGTTGAGCTAACTGTGGTGGTTTTTGTTATGCTGCTTTTTGGTTGAGTGGGAACTGTACTGTTATTTGGCTTTGTTGAGGTATTTAAAGATTTATTGTTGCTCATATTTTGGGAGTATTTGTTGTAGTTAGAGATTGTGTTTTCATGTTGTTGTTGTTGTTGTAGCGGCTACAACAACCCCGCCCAGGACGGTTGGTATCTCAGTCGTTGTCGTCAAGTTCCACTAACGGCAACCCTAGGAAGCGTGCAGTTTCTGTGGGGTTTGTCCACAGGGACAAGGCCGTTAGGGTTGTCGGGTTTTCCGGGCATGCGAAGAGATGTTTCGAGTCATGTGGGGTCTCTCCGCATGCCGGACACTCATTCGGCACATCCTCATTCAACCTACTCAGGTAGGAGTTCAACCCGCTGCAGTAACCGGAGCGAAGTTGTGCAAGTGTTGTGCGTGTCTCCCGAGGCAGATGAAGCTCCGTCCCGTCTATGTCCGGGGGTGGTATGCCTAGAACGGCATTCACAGGTCTAGAGTCTACATAACTCGAGAATGAGTCCCTGTGAATGCCGTTCAGGGCCTGTCGGTACGCTGTCGGGTCCAGAGGTTGCTTAATGAACCTCTGGACTTCGTCCGTCAGTTCATATAGATACCTCCTGACGTGCCTAGGCGAGGGCTCCTCTGCAAGCAGCTGTCTGCTTGGGTGGCCACTTCTGTGGCTCCCGATCAGGAACTGCTTGCAGAGCATTATATTGTGCTCCTTTACAGGGAGCATTTGCGCCTCGCCGAGCAGGTGGTGTTCAGGCGACATCAGGAGGCATCCTGTCACTGTCCTGAGTGCGGTGTTCTGTACAGTCTGTAGCTTCGTCCACTGCGTCCTACTAGTCCCTGGCGACCACACTGGCGCTGCGTAGTTCAA